CTGAACCTTCTTTCTCCTTGCTGTTGGAGAGACATGAGCAGTTTGCAAAGCAACAGACCTTTATAAGATAGTGGCCACATTTGGTTTGAAGAGGTTCAGGGCATTTCTCAGTGTTGCCCATTGGAAAGGGACTAGCTGTATGTCATTCATAATGTGTTCCAATCTGGAACAGAGCTGGCAGATTTTTAGTATTTGCTTTAAATACAGAGTTCTCTAATGCTGGCACTGAGGAATGGGATTTCCTCCATAAAACTGTTATAGAGAAAATATCCATGTGGTTTTAAGAAAGGTCTTAGTTCTATATGCTGTTCAAACAGAGGAAGGAAAAAACTCCTATTTTTTTTCTTCGCATCTTTGCTGTCATGCTAACTCCAGAGAAAGTTCTTCTTACAGACAGAGAATTCCTTTTAAATTCATGCCTTGTTTAAGAAATGGGAGTACTGCAGAAATAAAATATGTAATAGTAGCTGAAAATTTACATTAAGTCTATAAGATTCCTGTTTGTTGTTTCCATGGTAAGGGCATTATTAGAATTCATTTCTACATTTCTCCCTTTGCCTTTTTCCCTAAATTCAGCCAATGCATATACAAGCCTTCTTATGACTTTTCAGTTGGTATTTGTTATTTCTGAAAATGCTAATCCAACCCGGGGCTAGAGTAATGATGGAACTTTCTCTTAAAACATAAGCGCGTAAATTAAAGCAAACAGATGTTCAGACATTCCATCTGTGCATCCTGAAACTCACACGAGGCACATGCATACTTGCTGCCCATCTGTTAAGGTGGATTGTTCTCCATTCAGTTCTCTGTCTCAGGTGGCGGACCATTTGGGATGAGGTTGGCAGCCTATTCATCAGTAAGACTGCCATTTTTATAGGGATTTCTCCCACTTACTGTGCACTGAGCTATGCAGTATCAAAATATGTTTGATTATACTTGGAAGTTCCTTGAATTCTCAATATATAAAAACTTGAGTCCTTTCAAGACTCGTTGCAGTGTATGCCTTTAAAACCAGGGAGATAATTTTTTAAAAGGGCAATCTTACATTTTAAGGATGATCTTTCCACCATTTCTTTTCATTTCTTAGGGCTTAAGCATCTAAGTGAGGGAAAGAACTGCGGCACCTGGGCGAACACTGAGCAAATGTGTGTTATGTCCCTAGTTAAGGAGATTATGTGGGCATCTAAAGTGAAGTTGGATGCAAATCTAGTCAGATCATACTGATTTAAAAGAGTGGATTCCCTTGACGACATGATTTAATTTTGTACTCACATTAACAGTCAGAAAGTGTGCTTAGTGCCAGTACTGTGTCTGGATTGTCAAGCCAAACCTAACAGTGTATGACATTATTTCCACCACTATTTCTGCTTCATCCCTTGCTGCCACCCCCACCCCTGCCACCGCCTAACACAAAGGTAGACTCCTACTAACCCCTGGAGACTTGGGCTCAGCAAACACTTACCCAAATGCACCAGCCTGTGTTTGCCACTGGAAAGTGCTTTTGCATACTGCAATTCACGCGCAAGAAGTATTGTTTGTGGACTTCTTTCCTCCAAGTGGTTTCCAATTACAACAAGCCTGAGTATATCACCACTTACTTTCCTGGTGGTAGGAATGGAATTGGACCAGTAACCATGGAAGGAAATTCAAAAATGCTTCTTCCATCCCATCAAGGGGACCTCAGCCAGTCTGCAGTTTTGCTTTGTGATGAAGCCAGACCTGTTTATCACTGGATGAATGCGAGTTACATGTATTTATACCATTGTACTGCTTGTAGAATCATAAGTTTTTCAGATGAATGAAAAATCTTCCTTTCTACTGTAGGCATTGCAAAGCCTGACTGTGCACTTTGTGTCAATTTTAACACAATAATTTCTTATTGCCTTTTTCAATTATTGCATTTCCTTTGAGCAGGTCAAAATTTAGACCTTCTAAGAGAGAGAGAAAATCCATTTTGATATTTAAATTTTATAGCTCAGGGTATGAGGAGAAAAGAGCACAGAAGTTATATATTTGATATTAGTATTGTTTCACTTTGGGTGAAAATGTCCCCCACCCCTCAAAAAAATTATCCGTATATATTTGGTTGGGGAGCATAATCCCACAGAAAAAAAAGTCAAAGCTTCTAAGAATAAAAATCTACTTCTGTTGATGGATTTTTTTTTCTGTATTTGCTGAGGAATAATAATGAAACCCTATAAGCTCAACTGAGGCTTACAGTAGCCCAAGCTTTGTTGCTTTTGTTGGTTTTGATGATGATGATAAATAGAAAATTGATATGAATTGAAATAATTATTGTTTATCATAGCATACAAATATGGTCTATTGTCTTCAAAATCTGGTTTCATTTTCATCATTTTTGGTCTTCTTCATTCAGACACTTTGTACAAAAAGGAAGGCTAGGCAAGGAATCCTGAATGATGAGTAATACTCAAAGGTATCATGTTGTTTCTGCTTCTGCTGCTGTCATGTGCTCTGTGTGGTTCTACCTTGGAATACTGTTTGAAAACTTCAGCTGTCCCAGAGTGCTACAGCAAGTATGTGACTTCCTTGTTGTAACCACTTTGCTATTTCCAGTCCTGGTTATGAATCGAAAATCCCTACACAATTTGGGACCAAGCTATCTGAAAGACTGCAGATACGAGCTCCTCCAGGTGCCGAGATCTTTTCTCAGCCCCACCCTGACTGGAGACTCGTTTGGTGGGAACACAACAAAGGGTATTTCAGTGTTTGCTCCCAAGTGCTAAAACAGTGTGCCAAAGGAGGCCAGCTAGGTTGACCTTCCATTGGCAGGCAAAGACAACTTTATTCAAGAAGGTCTCCAGCATATAAGGCCCAGGGGTTCTAATTGCTTATTTTGTTTGACTGTGTGTTCTAAAATGTGTTTTCAATTTGTTATTGTTATTAGACTGTGTGTTTTTAAAGTGTTTTCAATTTGTTATTCCTTTTTTTCTATACCACTGAATAGTCAAAGTCCTTTGGGTAGTTTACAACAGTATATAAAATACACTATAAAATGCAGATAACAAAGAAAGCAGAGGTAGAGTCCCAATTCTGATCAACATGTCGAGGTAGATTGCAGCTGGGAGAGATGCTCTGTGGTCCCAAACCATGAAGGGGTTTATAGGGTAAAACTAGCCCTTTGAATTGAGCTCAGAAGCACATAGGCAGCCAATACAATTGGCCCAGAATTGGTCTCATATGTTTGGACTTTGTGGTTCCTGTTATCAATCTGGCTGCCACTTTTTGCCTTAATGGCAGTCTTCTAGACAGTCCATACAGAATGTATTGCAGTAATCTAGTTTAGAGATTACCAGAGCACAGTTTACAGAAATCAGGCAGTCCTTGTCCAGATAGAGACATAGTTGGGCTCCAGCCTTCTGCAGAGTGGAAGACACTCTGTGCTGCTGAAAACACCTGAGTCTCAAGTGACAACTTTGGATCAAGAAGCACCCCGTACTACAAGCCTTCAAGAGTAGCTTATCCCCATCCAGAACAGCTTGAATTCCCTCCACTCATCAAGGACCACACACTAACAGCTCTCAGTCTTGTCTTTACTGCGCTTTCATTTGTTAGGCTCATCTAATCCATTGTCACAGCCAGGCACCAGTTTAGCACATCCGCCTGATAGGGAAGAAGAGAGACCTAGAGCACTATGTCATTGGCATACTGATGAAAAGGCACTCCAGAACTCTGGATGACTCACTCGGTGGTTTCATGTAGACATTAAATAGTGTGGAGGACCATCCCCGAGGAACCCAGTGTCAGAGAGTCCATGGGACCAAGCTTTCCTTAAAAACAACAGTGGTTATTATTATTATTTTATTAAATCTTGTATTTTATATGTCAGCCACCTTGAACACCCTTTTGAGGAGAAAGATGGGTTATGCATTAAACAAAGAGCCTTAGGAACAACACTTTTTGCAACATTCCCTTAGTGCAGGAGGGAATGGAAGAGTGTGTGTACTTGGGAGAAACTGGGATGCTCACATGTAAGCATGTAAGAGTGCAACAGAAAGAAGGGAGGGGATTCTAAACCAGGGCTCTCTGTTACAGTTGACTTGAAGCATTTGCTGTTCTAAAAGATATTTCATGTTCATTCTGAAAGTTTAAGTCAAACAGCTGATACTTTCATTTGTAATTTGGTTTTGATGCTGCTCCTAAGAACAGACTGTGTTGTCTGCTTTCTCTGGAATGCCATGATCAGCATCTTTAAAAATGGCAATGGTTAAAAAATATGGATAGGAAATATATTAGAGGGTCAAGAAATGGCTCTAGGTTATTTGTTTTGTATTGTATTTGAGGCAATGGACAAATCTGAAAAAAGTCAGAGTTCAGATAGATATGCCTGTAGGAAAAAAGATTGTGATGTTCTCTTTAATTGAATTGTTTTTACTTCCTACAGGCAGATCCCCTCTGTTTAATGTTTTTCTTTACAAGTCACAGTGTAGCCTTCCAGAGGGGCAGACGCAGAGTCCCTCTCAACTAGCCTTGAGCCTGGGAATTGGAAATGGGGAGGAGGGAAAGAGACAGCAGGAAAAAAAATACAGCTCCAGGTTTTTAATCATGTCATAATTATAAGCCAATTATGTTAGTTCTTTTTAAAAGGAGGAGAATAGAATATAAGGGCCAAACAATCCTGTGCCATAGCACATGTTATGGTTACCTCCTTTACAGCAGAGCTTTGGGGCAAAGAAAAAAGTACATGCATTCATATATTTCCAACATTTAGACGTGTCTGAAAGGACCTGAAAGAATGGCTTATTTGGAGCACTGCAACAATAGATTCTGACAGAGGTTCAGAGAGAAGGGGGAATTGCACACAGGAAAGCAGCAGTTTGTAATGGCTCCTTCCTTAGGGTGGTGTATCATTCATACATCCTATTGCCGCACTAGAAATTCTTCCCCTTGAAAGCACCATAACTGGAAACGAGTCATTCAAAATAGTTAAAGGTATGTTTTCTGTTACATAATCAAACTCGTTCTTTTTTTTACTGCAGATCACAGCTGCTGGTGGACGTCTGAAATTTACCGTTTCATATGACCTCCCAGGGGAGGAAGATGCTCCGCAAGCAATGCTTCAATCTGATGTCATCATAGAGGTAGGCTATGAGACCTGTGTGGATTCATGCAGTGACAGGTAAATGATCAGCAGCACCTCAGCAGACTTTGTTACCTAAACCAAAGCTAAATATGGGGCCTTCCCAGAAATCTTACAGTGCAATTTAAACTTCAATAGCAGGGAAGACAAGCAGTGAAAAAGAAGGAAAGGGAGGAACAAGAATAGCATGATAGATACATGCAAATAAAGCAACATATTCTTAGAATTAATTTTGGTTTCAGTTGATAACTGGAGAGTTAACAAACCAAATATCATAGAATATTGTCTGTACAGGTAAGCACACTTACTTTCAATAGGACATAAGAATTGTCAGTTGTGTGCAGCATGATGTCCAAAGATGTCATTTGAAAAAAGGTTAACAGCAAACAGAGCCCCTTTGTTTTAATGGAAATTACTTCTCACTAACAGCTTTTCTATACAAGGCATCTATTGTGTACTCAACATTCCCTACTCAAAGTTGCATACAGGTTCTCTAAATACTTTTATGATCTACCAGCTTGTGTTGGGTACCACCTAGAGGTTAAGTAATGGAAAACCAGGAATTGATACATTCCATCTGGAATGCACACAACTCAGTCCTGCAGCAGAACCAAAAGCAGATGCAGCAGATTAACAACATTTTATAGAGAAGCTCTAAAATTGTTTGGGATCGCATCTTCAATATAAAAAATACATTACTTTCATCATCATCCTACATTAATTTGTTCAGCAGTATACATAAAATATGCCAAGTAAAGTCAAAGAGAAAATACTGCAACTACAGTATTGCGTATTGTAAACTGCAGTGAATTTCTCACTGGAAAGATCCTTGAAGTGGAATAACCTGTGCACCGAAAAAAAGGAGAAGAAAGAAAGAAAGAATGCTTTAATCTGTTGTAGTATCATTTGTAAATGTAAAGTAATGAAAGGGACACAAAGAGAAGGAAAGATGCATAAAATAAATATATATGCTAATTGAAGTGCATGCTCTCTAAAAGGTTACATTGTTTTAGATAGTTGCAGATTTGCATAATTGATAGCAGACCTCAACATACTATATTTTTCATGAGAACAATCAAAACCGTGATGCCTGTTTCTGGAAGGCTATCTGAATGTTATTGTTCTATCATTATTCAAATTTCCACACCCATAATAATACCCAGTAGGTACAGGTATATCATATCATATCATATCTATCTATCTGTGTAGCATATACCTTTACACTGAATTAGTGTGTGTTCTGTGATAATGCACCATCACTTCTTTCAAATGTTTGTACCCTTAACACTTATAATTACTAGGGAAGCGGTTTGAGAATCTGCACATCACAGGAGGGAATTCACTTGAACCCATTTGAAGAGCATACTGAAGAAGTGTTGCTGAAGCACAATTTATTTATGTTCCATGGCACTGACTCTCCAGTCAGCAAAAGGGAATTCATGACTGTGCTGGCAAATATAAAGAGACTCCTTATCAGAGCTACATACAGCTATGGGATGAATGCCATCTACAGGTAATCGTTGGAACTGCAGTTTGTTCTGTCCTTGGTATCATGCAATATGTTCTTTGTTCAGCCTTAATGCTCTGTTGAAGAAGTGGATGACAGTTTTTCTTGCTATTGTCATTTTGTTTCAGATGCTTTTTGGGGGGAGGAGTCACTAGGGCTTGTGTTTAGAGTCCAATGGAAAATCTGTAAAGAAAAGGAAGTGAACAGATCATTATCATTATTACACACATGAAGTATGTAAGAAAAACTAATGTGCTATTTATCCAAGTATAGTATTAAAATGCTGGATATCTCAGTAATTTAGATTCATACTTAGTCAAAGAAATGTACTGCAGTAAATGGGCAGTTGCACACTGTATGGGAACATTTCCCATTGCCCAGGGACTGAGATGCAGTGAGATACCATATTTTTTCAGTTATATTAAGAATTTTGTTGATACCTCCATGAGCAAAATGGTCACCAATTTGAGCCTAGTCACAGAATTATCTTAAGGATCTTAGAAGTAAGGCCCTTTGATATAAATAGGACTCACTACCATGGAAATGTGAATAAGGTTGCAACCATATATAAAAGTATTTGCATTGCATTTGTAAACATTCAGGTGGACTTCCAATATGTTGATCAAGACATCTTCAGTGGCTTCCAGGTTCAGTCCTTCTACTTCTTGCTGCTGGCATCATCAGGAGCTGTTGCTCCTCTGTCTCATCCTTGTTTGCTTGATAGGCAAATATCCAGTGCAAGAGGCAGGGGATACAACAGGATTCAATGGTGAAGAGGGTATGCATCTTCAGCAGGCCTTGCAGTAGGCTCCTGCTCAGCAGTGGGTCCTCGGCAGGCCCCCAGTCTGCCTATCTTTGGGGCTGGCCCTGCATCCAGCCTCTGATTACTCCTTTTCTTTACCCAAAGTAAAATAGATATAATCAGATGTCATTCCCCAGACCAGTGAAAGAACAGTATCTATACTGAAGATGAACCTGGTAGAGTGTAATGGTCTCCAGCCACAGGACCCTCATCATTGTTCTCTCTTCAGCATACATTTTATTTTTTAATCTTTTGCATTCCAGCCTATATACAGGCTGCAAGCTGGATACATTGCCATATCATTATGTGACGTTGCAAGAAACACCCTTCCTTGTCATTTGATTAAGCTCCTGGCACATGCTCCCTAATGTTCTCCAGCCCTTATGCAGCATACAGTGTTCTTCTCTCTGTCAAAAATTCTGTTGCTAGGACAGCATACTTCACTGAAGATGATTATGCCAACTTACATTTGGTAACCACTTCACACTGAATACCAATTCCTCACCATCATGCTCTCAGTGGCTTTAGCTTCACCTCTATATTTCTTTTTGTGTCCCACTTGAACACTTCGCTGCAGTATCTCTTTTACCCTCACTCATCTCAAGGTGTTTTATCTCTCTACCAGCTCTGCCTATGTTCCTTGTTTTTCTTTTGTGCATGGAACTTTCTGCTCAAGCACATATGTGATTATACCTTTTTCTTATCTTTCAAAGCTGTCCTCAGAAGCACATTCTGCTTCAGACTCATTTTGCCTCTTGACCTGTATTCTGTACACTGGCTAGAATATGGCTAGTGTGAGGTCATATTACCCCAAAGGGGCAACACAAGCCACCCATGGCTTGGAGTTTCCCTAAAAAAATCCAGGCATCATCCAGAAGGTTACAAGTAATGGTGCCCTGCTGTTGCCACTGGATATATATATGAGATACCCCTTTCCCCTCTTAAAAACATGTCCTCTGTTTGTATATTCAGGTATGGCAGTGTTTTCTGGCATCTCCTGCCTAACACACCAGCAAAAACAGACATGAATTCATTAGACATTGCATCTTGCCTCTTGTTCACATGACAGTATGATAAAGAATAATAACCTATATGACCAGGCAACTGTTTTAAACTTGTCCAGATTAATTTTCTTACAGGCATCTTTTCTCTTTACCATTTTGTGTTTCTTTCTTTTTTTTCTTTTCATCCACCCGTTGACTGTAAATCCTTCATACAATTTTAGATCTGTATTTTCTTCTGCAGCTCTGGAAAGAGACATATATTCTGTAAATCAATTATACACTGTAGCACCATGTTCAAAGCAGAGAAATGAATACACAGAGCAATGAAGGATCATGCCTAACAGCCCCACCTTCAACCCTGAAGTCCCAATACATAGGTTTTGTAAACAGATTTTAACCCTCCAGAGTGTAGATTTCCAGAGAAGTGTGCATGGAGAGGAAACATTGAGGTCCCTTGCACAGACTGAGCTCAAATATCAGGGACTTGAGGTGAAGCCTGCAAGCGTAATTCTGGCATACACCTCTTTACATGTTCATCTGTAGTGGTACCAAATGTTATCACAGGGCTTGTCACAGAGCCTGAGCAGATGTTTACAAAAAGAGAGAGAAGTCCATGTGGCAAAGCAGCCTGACACTGCTGTGCCTAGTATCAACATGGAAATTCTGCAGCAGATGCTCCTGTCTATGTATGTGGATCATCCTGATTGCTAACATTGTTGTGGATACTGCTGATCTTTGGTAAAACAGACTGATAAATCAGCAAAAGCAGTGGATTAAACATCGATGTGTGTAGTGGTCCTCACTGGCTTCCTTCCAAGGGCAGAATGTTGGCATTGCTGGGGCAGAAAACCATGCCACTCTCTTAGGGTAATGCTGCTCTCCTTCCGACATGGGTCTCCGAGTGGCGATCAAGCATTGCTCCAAGCGATAGCCTTCCTGCTGCTTCATGAGAAGCTGGAACAAAGGTCACCTAGACCCTGTGGTAGCAAGAACTGTGATAGGACAGGGCCCATGTAGCCAATGGTCAGGCTTCAGTACCTAATGAAAACTGGCACCATTGACTGAACACAACTGTGGAATAATGTTGCATGAAATGTAGATGTAGTGACCTAGAGGCTTTCCAGCAGCATTGCATAGCGGTGGTGATTTCTTTTCTTTCTTAATCTCAGGATGCAACAATTAATGTAACAGCAGATCGTAAACAGTGCTGCTATTGCTTCAAATGTGGTATCTCTTTTAATTTTGTTTGCATTTAGAAGTCAACAGTGTCTGCCACACTATAGAGTCATGCTGAAAATTTGGTCGAGATACACAAATTTCTCAAGTATCTGCAAGATCCTGTGTCCCATTACAGGCAACATTATGTACTTTAATGCTTGCAGAATGGCACAGAGGAATAGAAATGACTACATTGTAGTAGGACAAAAATTGCACTGCAGCTTTTTTTCAATGAATAAAAACTGTTAAACACATTAAAATACCATTTACCAAATAGCAGAACCTAATGAAAACTGGAACTGTTCAGTGAATACAAATGTGGAATAATACTGAGTGAAATGTTCTGTGTGTAAATGTTTCTCATTGTTCCAAATTATATTACATACCACTAGGAAGAGACAATCTATGGTTCAATATGCAAATAGGATAATAAGGCGATAGCAATTTTTGTTGTGTTTATAGTTCTTAAATTCTTTTGACTTACAGCTGGTCTTTAAAATTGTGGTCATATTTTTTAAAACTTTTTGCTCTATTTCTTTGATCTGACTGTAAATGAAATTACACAATAAGGATGCTGCATCAAGACAAAATTGGAGAGATGTCAAAGTAATTCCTGAAAATATTATACTGGTTAACTTCCTTTGTTGTTTGTAAGCTGTTTTGAGTGCTTTTTTTTAAATGAAAGGGCAAGATAGAAATTATTTTAATAATACACAATACCTAATTTTTCTCAGCTTTGCTTTTTTAATAAATTCCAGTTATATTTAAAAAAAAACAAAGTTGACAAAACTTATCTAAAAAATACACTTGACCAAAATTTACTAAACATCACAGAACAGAACAATCAGCTTTTTGTTTTGAAAAAATAGCTTTTCCCATTGACCTTTGGTTAACTCTGTTCCTTCTTTTGGCTCTGGCCTCTTGGCTTTTGGCTTTGGCCTCTTGGCAGAGCAGCAGAGGCACAGGCTGGGAGAGAGTGCTGAGTGGCCAGGGGACTAGTGAAGGCAAGGTAGGAGCTGGGCAGGGGAGCAGAGGGCCAGGAGCAGCAGAGAGGAAGGGCGGCTTCCCTTGTCTGCGTCCCTTGGCTGCAGCCCGGGCTGTCCGGAGACTCCCTTCCCTGAGACACAGAGGTTTGATTGTTTGTTTGTTTGTTTCGTTTGTTTGTGCTGTGCTTTGTTTTTCTTCCAATTTAAATTTAAGTTTATTTTATCCGTGTGTGTGTGTACGAGTGGGTTTTTGTCTGGAAGAACTGGGCAAGTGAGAGGAACTGCAGGACTAACAAGGCAGGGGACCAAGGTAAGGTCTCGGAAGGGATACCGATGGCAGACCAGCAGATGGCCTTGGCGGGAGTCACGGGTGTTGCTGTCCGCTGCGAGAGCTGCGACATGTTCGTCCTTCTCCCCCAGGAGAGGCAGGGATACACTTGCCCTCGGTGCAAGATGGTGACCCTGCTAGAAGAGGAGGTGAGGTGCCTGAGGGCTGAGAGAGCTCTCCAGCCCCCCCCCCGGAGCAGCCCCCCTCTGGACAGAGGGTTGAGGGAGAGACCACGGGAGGAGCAGCTGCGGAGACATGGAGGTATGTCACCCACAGGAGGAGGAGGCCAGCATGGCCTCCTCCTTCTCCTGGCACCAATCTGGAGCTGGGAAGCAGGTTCTCTCCACTTGGGGAGGCTGGGGCTGATGAGGCCTCGGGGGACCAGCAAGACTCCCAGCCTGGGATGTCAGGCAGCAAGAGGGCTGCTGCAGGAGAGGCGACGGCCAGTGCACGGCCACCCACCAGCACCGGGAAGGTACAGCGGTGGGTGATTGTTGTTGGGGACTTCCTGCTGAGGGGCACTGAGGCGGCAGTGGGAGGTTTGCTGCCTGCCGGATGGACGCATCCAGTATGTGAAGGACAGAGTAAAGCGTCTTGTTTGCTCCGGGGGTCACCAGCCACTCCTGGTGATCCATGTGGGCACAAATGATCTGGCCAGGCAGGGTGTG